GCATAAAAATTCGGTCAGAAGTGAGAGACAGAAAGTAACCGGTCAGACACGACATCCAATCAAGGCAGCACAAAATTTTAGCCAAAAAAAGACACTAAAATCAACTTGGAATTGATAAATTGCTTCACGAAACAGACAAATATGTAAAAGTTTGCTAAGATTTAGTTCAGAAACAGGAGAGGAAAGTGCAAAATTTAAAAAAGAGGCGGAGGGCGCCCAGGAACGGACAGGAGATCCGGCTGTCACACGACAGTGACCCGAAAAGCGTTGGATTTGAAACGAGAGCGCCAGAATGGCCACAAAATGACACAGCACTGCTCAGGGCAAGAGCGGGGGAGAAGTAGACTAACAGCCCATCAGAGTGGTTCACTCACACTCCAGAAATGAATGTTCACCGTCCCTCACTTGTCCCTAATCAAAGGACGGGCCCGCAATTCCGGCAATTCGTCAGGTGGCGCTGCCGGCTTCTGAAATGTCCCATCACCCCTGGCCTCCTCGTTATTCCTTCCTGTTCTGGAATACAGCACCACCCCACGGACCGGGAAACCGCGACACCAACGCCGAGCCGCAGCACCGAAAACTGCCCACAGGGATAACCGGTCAACTACTTCCGATAACTTTTTTGGACGCAATTAGTGAAAACCGGACCGGCCGCCCCTCTACGACCCGGCGACGGAACAACTACCGCTTGGATCGGTTTGGCTCGACCAGCGTTATACACGAATTGCGGAAATTGGTGCTTGGTGGTGGTAAGTAGGGTTGCCCCACGGTTTGAGTGGCAGGTGACGGGGGAGGATGGTGTGCTGCGGATTTCGTTCGAGGCAGGAGATGGGGTCGAAACAGTTAGATTTAATGGCTACATTGCGTAAATCCTTTGTCGGTTGATTAGGTCGCGTACATTTGAAGGGTAGAGAGGAGGGGGTGATGGCTGGAAACGAGAAGGAAATGTGCTCCTGGTTTTTGATCTAGATACCTGGAGTAGGGAAAGGTGCTGCTACAGTGGGAATGGCGAGAAGCCCCAGGTGTTGCTTTGCGAGCAGCAGTTGGAAACAGGGTAGAGAAGCGGAGCAGGGACACAGATCAGGAGCTCTTAGGCAAGAACTGGAAACAGCAGTAAGGAAAAGACGCAACAGCACTACAAAGAAAAGTAAACTGAAGCGAACCTGAGTGTCTAAATAAAAGCGAAATAAAAAGCAAAGTGAAGTAAATAGTGGCGTGCACCAGGATAGCCGATGCGATCATGCGTTTTGTGCAGTTCCGCCCAGCGGACGCTTGCCTACTGAAAATATAACTGTTTTACACTTTCGTATATGGGAAAATAGTCCGTATGTTTTCCGGCTCCTAAGGTGAAGAACTTACTTCCAATCGAAAATTTCATGTGCCGCTTCATGAAAGCTGAGTTTGAAAGCTTGGGTGGAGAACATTCTTCCAAATTTCAACTTTCCAGTTTTTCGGCTCCCGAGCTAGTGACTTTCACAACAAAAGTCTCACACGGTCGTACGTAAGGCCTGTGCATGCTTGGGAGCTAAATTTGAATTTGTGAGGTATATGCATAGGCAGAAAGCATCCTCCTGAAATTTCAGCCTCACAGCTCTTCTAGTTCCCAAGGCAATAATTTCCCCACCAAAACTTTCGCGGGGCCTTAAAAAAAATATGCAAAATTTCTTGACAGGGAAGCGATTTCAAGAACCAGACAAGACATGGAGCTGAGAAATTTTCAGTGGGAAATTCCTCGCCTCTGATGCGCGCCTCTACTTATTCTTTTTACAGTCTGCAGTTCTTATCCTGAACTTCCGACTAGCACCCTTGTCCTCCTCCTCCATCCTGTCTCCAATCCCTGTCTCCAGAGCTGCATCGTGGCACCCATCGTCACTCACCACCCTCAGCCACGGTCACCGTTTATCGTTCTCCTGCTGAATTGGGTAATTAGAGGGTGATGGTTGGGAGGATTGGAAGTGACTAGGGGTGTTGGTTGGTAGGTGCCCAGATATAGCTCAGAGGGCACGAATAGGGCCAGAATAGTGCAGAGGAACGAAAGTGCTGGCCAGGAGTTCAGGAAGATAAGTGGTGACAGTGGTTGGGGGTGGTGGTGATGATTGTTCTGGTGCGGCTCTGAAGGCAAGGATGGGGACAGGATGGAGAAGGAGAACAAGAGTACTAGCGAGGAGCTCGAGGCAGGAACTGGAGACAGCAGTAAAGAGGAAAAGACAGCACAACGACACGAAGAAAACTGAATTAAAACAAATCTCAACTTGTGAATAAAAGGAAAAAAAGTGAAATCAATGAATTGAAGTCTTTGAACAAAAACAAAATAAATAGCAACGCGCACCAGAATAGCCGGTGGGATCATGCGTTTTGTGCAATTCAGCCCATAGAACGATTGCCTGTTAATGATTTTCACTGCTTTGTACTTTAGTCTATGCAGAAATAGTTCAAACATTGGAAAATAGAAATTTCACGCACCAGCGCATGAAGGCTGAATTCGAAACCTTGAAAGGTGAATATCCTTCCGTGATTCCCGAGTTAATAGTTTACCCGCCAAAATTTTCACGAGGCCGTATGTGACACTCAGGGGCGCGGGAACGCTGAATTTGAATGGGCAAGGTTGAGCGTGGGCAGGGGGTCACTACCCTAAAATTTCGGCCCCCTAGACTTCGTGGTTCCCGAGATATTAACTTACCCGTGAAAAACTTTCACGGGGTCGTACGAGTTACCCGCGGGTAAGGGAGGGCTAAATTTGAACTTGCCGCGTCACCCGTTGGCGGGGAACACTCTTCCAAAATTTCAACCGCCTAGCTTTTGCGGTTCCCGAGTTGAAAGTGCGGGACAAAATGTGGGACACACATACACACACACACACACAAACACACACATACACACACACAAACACACACACAGACAACCCCGTGACAATATGCGTTTTGTAACGCTGTTACACAGCACAAAACGCATAAAAAGCAAACGCAAACAAAAACTAAGCTTATGTCTTACAAAAACCCGTCTTCAGTAAACGGCTTCACTATTTATGAAGTTTATGCTCAGACAAAGCTGTGAGCAAATAAGCTCGATTGGAATTACAAAAAATTGCGCACAATTCCATTGTGTTGTCTTCGGCAGCCCGTAACTGCGCGCAGCAGTTATACTTCTGTTTGTTGCTTTCAAAATCTCACAGAAGCAAGGGATGGCTTCGTCCCCGTGCACCCTGTTTGCCCCGTTTTTTGCTCACTTCATGGAAGTTATTCGCTCTCAGCTTTTCCTCAGCAGTTTCACAAATAGGAAAGTCTGATGACGGGTTCTTATGGATCAGTTTTCACCAGCAAAACCTCATTTTCTTTTGCTTTTATTCATAAAGTCAGATTTGCTTTAATGTACTTTTATTTGCGTGCGCAATGCTGTCTTTTTCTCTTTACTGCTGTTTCCAGTTCTTGCCTCGAGTTCTTGACTTGGATCCTCGTTCCCCTTCTCAACCCTGTCCCAAATTCTGGTAGCAAACAATATAGAGACCTCTCTCCATATAGATCCTTCCACTGTTCAAGCAATATTTACTTTTCCCTACCCAAGGTATCTAGGGTAGAAACCAGGAGCACACTTCCTCATCTTTCCCGTTTCTCACCGCTTCCCTCTCCCCTCCAAATGCACGTTACTTAGTCAAACGGCAAAGGATCTACGCCATTTAGTCCTTAAATCCACGCTGAATGAAACGCGCTACATACCACCCTCACTTTTACCTGCCTAATTCAAACTCCCACCATCCGCCATGAGGTACCCCTACCAGCCCTCGGCAGAAAAAACTTTTTGGGGATCGTAAATGGCGGCGGCCGAGCCGTGTTTTAGCGGTTGCATCTTTCCCCTGTTGAAAATGCTCGGCGGGGCCGGGGGCCGGTGTGTAATCCGCGGATTAAAAGGGAACCCGTTGGTAGTGGACATATCCATTCCCAGTGGTATCTGGTAGCCTGTTGGGCCAACGTTATGCAGGTGGCTTGGACCGCATAGCTGGCAGTCGAGGGAAGGGGAGGGAGCTGTGGGGGTGCCAGTTCCCCCTCCTCAAATGCTTGCTGGATATTCAGCACGCTGGGTGCGTGCCAGCAGTGCTTGCTGCTTGGACGCGCGCCCCGTCCCGGTTGCTCGGTTCTGTTTCAGGATTGTTTTCAGATGCGGAACTTGAAAATCTCGTCGGCAGTTGTGTTGGAAACTTGGCTGGGCGCCAGCGAGCGGCAAGAGCAGCAGTCGCTTCCCAAAATCAACGGTAACATAAAATTTCCGTTTTAGTTTCTAGAGGAACCGTAGATTTCATGAAGTGCTCCTTTGTACTGCTCCTTTTTATTGCGCTTAAAAAATTTTTTACTAAAAAAGATATTATAATCATTGTTTTTCTTTAGAAATTAGTTATTCCTCGATGTCAATTCGTATATTTAATACACTTTCTCTCTTTTCCGATTTGTGTTCCTCTTCTGTTTACTGGATTCGTCCTTTTTCCAGAACCAAAAAACGTTATTTCGGAATTTGACAAATATTTTATAGAAAAAAAACTTGAGACCACAACCTTCGTGTTGAGGAAGTCCAGTTGTAGTGCTCAACAGAGATGTATAGGACCTGTTATTGAGCCGCTATATGAGCCTGGTTGTCTCGTGATTTCATCGAGACCTGGTCGGAATAACAGGTACCATCACAGGCACTCAGCTCATCCTCGATTTAACCGTCATGGCATGGTTATTTTTATGGTTATTATTGGTTATTAATTTAATAACCAGTAATAGCCATAAAAATAACATGGTTATTATTTACATGGTTATTAAATAACATGGTTATTATAAAAATAACACGGCATGGTTATTATTTTTGGTATGGTTATTTTTTAAGCGCAAGAAATCATTTTTGACTTCTCGACGTAAAATGTGAATTTTCAGAGATTGAAGCGATGTGCGTGGACAGTGAAAAACGCATTTTTTGCGCGTGCATCGCTGGAGTTTATGAAGTTTCCGCCAGTTCACCGGTATTTTTTACGCTTTGTCATGATTTATAGAATTTATAGAAATAAATTGTGCTTATTGGCGCATTTATGGTGAGTGGGTCTTGCGTGGGCAGTGTGAGGGATTAGAGCGAGCAGTCGTGCAGTGCATCAGTTCTGCCGAGGAATCCTTGACAAGGCCAGAAGGGAGTCGCCGAAGGATTTGAGGTGGCCGGCTGAAGACGATGGTAAGTGAGGAGATGATGCTGCACTGCCGTGGTTGTGCGAGGACGTCCGACGTGCGCTGAGTTGAAAAAATGCAGAGAGTAGATGACGTAAACGAAGCGTGGTTTCTATAAGTGTCTCTCGACGAAAGCCCGGAGTGAAGGTGCCGGGGTTTTTACAGGGAAAGCACCTTATTGGTTTTTGGCAATCAGGCATGAATGACATTAAAAATATTCCGAAAAAAATGTTAATATGTTTATATATGATGGTAATTGCTACGTGAGAAATATCGTCGATTTTACCATCAACAATAAAAAGGGTGGATGAAATTCCACATAAAAACTACATGAAGTATTTCAACATAGAAAGACAGAGCGCTGCACACGCATAAAAAATTATTTTTTGACATTTTGCATAAAATATCTAATTATCGCCTTTTGGCAGCGAAGCAATTGCTGGCTGTCTGTACATACGCCGTTTCTTTCTTTCCATCGCCGATTGTTTGTTTTTGCTCATTTCGAGGCCACGAGGCTCTTGGGAGCTGTCTTTTGCATCTGTTTACCTGTGCTACGTTTCGCTGTTGTTTTCGTGGTATTTGTAAGTTTGTTCCAGGAATTAATTGACTGGACGCAGCAGCGCGGCGATGCGGCACTGGTAGCATTCGACTATCTCAGCGATGACTACCGCCTCTGTGCTGTTTTCTCCTCGGGTATCGTGACCTTTATCGACCCTGCAAATAAAATCGTTCGTTTTTTGCGACGTTTTCGTCTTCCAAAAAACTGTTATTTCTGGCAGGCAGGCTGAATAAGTGATAATTGCGTGTCGGTATTCCTGCTTTGTTAATTATGCTACTTATTGGCTCAAAAATGCGTAGTCATACTCTTGCTGCTGTGATAATTACGCCTTCCAATTTTCCAATTTTACTTGAGCTTCATCCCCGTTCTCGCCACCTCTCGCTACTTTGGACTAATCACATAGCGTGTGTGAAATGTGTTCGCGCCTCTGTTAACTGCTAAGCAAAACTCCGTGGTTGCCGGCTATTTCAATACTGAAGCGGTTTTGCAAAAGTTGCTTGCTGAGCGCTTTAGTCTTCAAGGTCTTTTGGAATATAGTGTGCATGCGTGGTACCGCTTTACTATCATAAACACATATTCGGTTAGCCGTGCAGTTGCAAGCATCGCTTAAAGTCTTTGTGATTGCTACATCATTCATAAATTACTTGATAATTTTGTTCTTCCACAGTGTCGAGGCGCGGCGCTCCAGAGGCTCCAAACGAATACCCCGACTGTCGTTGTGGAGTCCTTTTTTAATCCTACAACGAAATTTCCATTTGCGTCGAAGAAGAGTTTTTCCTACTTTTCGATTTGGGAACAGTGCGCGAAAGTAGCATCCTATGTTTATAATTACGATGATTTTTTTTCTGTCTCCCGATCTGGCACTGGGGTCCTAGATCGATCCACAGGAAGGTATTTCCCAACCGAATCTTTGGGTTATTTTTTGTCTTGTTTCCGAACACAACGCCGAAGCATTTGATTTCAAATGCTCCCACAAAAAAGACCCTGATAAGATCTTTTATTTTGTTTCATAACATTTTTCTTTTGGTTAATTTGTAATTAGTTTTTAAATATTTCAAGGTTTCTTTTGCACCCCGTGTCCTTTCTAGTTCAGGTCTCCGTATCTCACAATTTTTATGCGTTTTTTGCTGCAGCCGTTGCACAAGACGCATATTGTCGAGAATCCGTCTGAATGTTTGTGTGTTCCGAGTGCATTTTGTCTGAGGGTTTCAACTCGGGAACCTGAGAAGCTAGGAAGCTGAAATTTCAGGGCGAGCGAGAGGAGCCCATTACCCGCGTATGATCCCGCAAACTTAAATTCAACTTCTGCGCACTTGGGCTTCACGTACGATCACGTGAAAGTGCCTAAATTGACAGCTCGGAAAGCAAAAGACATAAGAAGCTGAGATTTTAGGAGGATGTTCCTTGCCCGTCTATGACCTTGCAAACTCTAATTCATTTTCCCTACACGCTTAGATCTCGCATAGAGACATGCAAAATTTTTGAGCGCAAAAATTTATAACTCGAGGATCGTGAAAACTAGAAAGCTGAAATTTCAGAATTATGCTCCTGCCTATGTATAAATTTAGTTTCTACGCACGCCTAATTCTCAGATATGGGTACGCGAAAGTTTGGCGCCAAGATTAACCACTCGGGAACCACAGGCAATGAAGTTTTGTCGCCAAAATTAACATGCAGCTTATCAGACAGTAATGCAGTGGACAGTTCTAGCAGCCAGGTTCCTCTGAGCTATTGCACAAACATCAGTTGGACAGGGCTGCAAAAGCATCCACCAGGCAGAATTGCACAACCCATCACTGGGTAGGATTGCACAAAACGCATGATCACACCAGCTACC